TCTCTCTCTCTCTCTCTCTCTCTGCCCAACGATCAGGATAGAACAGATTTTTTTTTCTATGGAAGTAGCACTTTACTCACACAGGATCCAACAAGTAGTCCAGCTTTATTTCCCGAGCATTGATGCAGATTTTTACACAAATGAGATAATTATTTGCACTGAAAAATAGATGGAGTAGAAAGATATAATTATGTAGGATTACATTGTGAAATGTCATATATATAACCTTTGGGATGTGGCCTTTTGTCCAAGGGCCATTGCCTTCTCGAGAGATTGTGAAAGGCATCAAATTGTAAGGGAGCAACTTATAAAAGAGGACAGAAGTCTTGAGTCAAAAGTCTTTTTGCATGTAAAAGATAAAACATTTCATCCATATGATTGCTGATTTATTCCCCTTTCCTTCTTCTCCCTTTCCTTTTCCTTCTTTCTATTACTAATGAGAACAAGAAGGCAATTTCTTCATTCAAAACTCAGCGTTTTCAACAGTTACCATGTTAAAATCTTCCTCAAGTTCTGATGATTGCCAATTCCTTTTTCTTTCGCTGCAGATTGTCTTCAGAGAAGATTTTGGAACTGAAGGTCGGGGTGGATATTTTGATGAATACGGGTATGTTCTGCTGGTGCACTTTGGAGTTTTTCTGCCTCTGTCATGAAAGTAGTCCTTATATTTCTCTCGCTTTGGCAAGATGTGTAATTCTCAACGAGAATATTTCTGGAGAAGTAGTGCTTTATTACATTTCACTTCTTTCTAGTTTCTTTTAGCTTGTAAGATTTATGAAATTTTTCAATCTTCTCTTTCCTTTGCAGAATTATCAGGGACATCATTCAAAATCACCTCTTACAGGTGAGCCTTGCATTAAGTTTTAATCATATATTAATAACAGTTCCACCATTCAACTAAACTGGCAAATGCTAAAATATCGTAATTTATATTTATGTTATTTAATGGGAACTCGTTCAAAAACCTTAATCTAAATTGCCCATTTTGTATACCTCTTTGCTGATTGAAGATATGTGAAAATGAGTGGACGGGCTATCTGTAATAATAGCTAATTCCAAATGTAATTTGTGCCCCTGTTTAGATCATCTTCCTTCTTTACATATAAGCGCCATAAGTAATTTTTGCCAAGTGGTAAATTGCTCAGTTTTTTGTAGCACCCTAAGATGTATGCCAAAGAGATTAATTTCTCTCATGTTCTGCATTCTTTACAAACCTGCAGGTTCTTTGCCTTGTTGCTATGGAGAAGCCCGTTTCTCTGAAGCCCGAGCATATCAGAGACGAGAAAGTTAAGGTAAAT